ATTATTAATATCACAAAACTATAAAATTAACTTAAAGGTATAATTTGAAGAACTAATTGACCCGCTGTAGGTTCATGTTTATTTCGCGTTTTTTATGACGAAAAAATAATATTTAAAAACATGTCTATAAAAATGATAAAAGTAATGAAATTACAACAGCTAAAAAATTTTAATTTTTATATCACCATATTTTTATTTAAAATGTATTCTTTTCTCTCGCTTCATCCGCCATTACTAGCATAAAAAAATATCCGGTCGGGCCACAATGCATTATGGGATATGCTGGGTCGGGAAGGATCCATCAGACCTGTCCTTCAAATCGGGGAAAAGGAAGGACGTATTTGTCGGCTGCATCGGAGGAGTCTTCGGTTTTGGACGTCCTTCGTCGCGGGGCTGTGACGTATGCGGCCGACGATTTCGGCCTTTGGAGGACCCGGCCTGCCGTTTTGGACATAACCTTTAACTACTTCTCGTTAGCATTTCTGTACTTATAGCTACCATTTTACTATGTATAGCTAGCCCTTTACTACTACTAATTAGCCTTTACTACTGTGTCCAAATTCAGAGGCTGGGTCCTTCAAAGGATCCGGCCTACCTGGTATAGCTGGGCCGGGTCCTTSGTAGACCGCGAAAACTGCTGCACTGTACTCCTTTCTGTCACTTTGTCCGCCATTACGAGCAGAAAAAAATCTCCGGTTGGCCTGCAATGCATTATGGGATATAGTGGTCTGAGAAGGATCCATTGAACCTGCCCTTCAAATTGGGGCAAAAGGAGGACATATTTGTTGGATAAGTCTTTGATTTTGGCCAGCCTCCAGCATAGAGCTGTGACATAAGCGGATGACAAATTTGAGCACACAGGCCCTGAATGTAGACTCAGCCATAGTTAGCATGTTACCCTGTATAGCTAACCCTTTATTCAGATTCAGATTCAGATTTTCTTAARTGTCATTCAAACATAACATCAGAGATGCAAAGAAGAAAGAAATGCAGTTAAGATCACCTGTTTCAAGAAAAACACAGGTCTTGTCCAACAGGGTCGGGCTACCATTTTTGCAACTTGGAAATTCACAATAGGAGAGATGAGTTAAAAAAAGTAGCTCTGATCCTATGTTTACACCATAAACACAGTGTCATATGCTTTACTACTTATAGCTAACCTGAACTAGTTTACACTGCTACTTTTGTAGAAAATAACACCAGTTTATTCATTTTTTTCCACTAAGACCTGAGTGAATCTATTTCATGCACTAGAAAACACCATCCACACATGAGAAAAGTTATTTTTTGTTGTTTTTTAACAAAGAAAATGTATATAATTAGCTAAAACACTGATATCTTTTAGCTTTTGGTCCTAATTAGTTTTGTATCTCTGTGTATAACCACCACTTTAACCACTTCCATGAAGCTGAGTTAAGTGCTGAACATCCTGGAGTAGGAGTTCTTCAGACAGGTKGGGATGTAAAACTAGCAGAATGCCCTCAGTCCCCAGCAGAAATCAAGGTGTCTGACCTGTCGGAGAGCTTCTTAGCGAAACCAAAGTCTGTGAGGCGGATGTGTCCCTCGCTGTCCAGCAGGATGTTCTCAGGCTTCAGGTCTCTGTAGACCATGTCTTTGGAGTGGAGGTACTCGATGGCGCAGACGATCTCTGAGGTATAGAACAGGCCTGAGTTGTTGCTGAATCGCCCGCGGCTGCGCAGGTAGCTGAAGAGTTCCCCGCCTGGAACGTAGTCCATCAGCATGTAGAGGAAGTGCTCGTCYTGGTGAGTCCAGAAGCTGCAGGACAACACAAGGACAGTATTACAGAGTCGTGGATCAGGACTGAATCTGTCTCACTTCAACACAAACATGACAACATGAGCAGTGAACAGCCACAAGACTTCAGGTAAACTGCAGAACTCACAGCCGGATGAGGAACGGGTGGTTGACTTCTGTTAGAACCTCCTTCTCGTTGTGGACGTGCTGCTCCTGCTTCAGTCGGATCACGTCTGAGATCTTCATCTGCTTCAGGGCGAAGAAGGCTTTACTCTTCTGCTCCTTGACCAGGAAGACTCGGCCAAACGTCCCCGTGCCTGAGGAGGGGGACAGAGGCAGAAGACGGGGGGACCATCAATCACCATGTCTGGACACAGTCTTTGACTGTGGACCATTGAAAACACAAACACCAGCCAGAGGAGCAGACACTGGAGTTAGAGCCAATGAAAAGCCTCGTTCTRATGTCTGCTTTTAGCTTCTGCCACATTAAAACATTCAGACTAAGATTAAAGTGGCCATTTTGAGTAAAAAATCACAAGTATGTGAGTCCAGGAAATGCTGAAGTGGTTTGTTAACTGTTATTTTAAATTCTTCAGATGTTTGTATTATTTACTGTATGTATGAAGCCTGACATTAGGTGTTCTTCAGTACTTACAGGGTGAGGTRTGAGACTCATTAAACTGAACCAAACCTAATGGACATGAAGTTCCAGTTTTGTTTCCATCTCTGCACATGTCAGGATTTGTTTATCATAGGTCCAATRGTCATGGACCACAGGTTGTCCTCATATCCTGCAGTATTTACTGAACGTTGTGTTGAAGACAACTGGACATAACATCAGAGACAACTCCTCGTTGTCTTCAGCTGTTTGGTCAGACCTGTGGAGCTCTGGCCCCACCCCCCKATGGACCAGTACCCTTCAGTCCTGACTGTGTCTTTAGATGTCAGGAGATGTTACTGAGGAACACAGAGATTAGATGTTTTAAATGTGGGGTGATGTGTCTGTTGGTGTTTCTGTCAGAGCTCAGAGACGAAGAGATCATCCAGGATTCTGGAGTGAGGAGGAGCTGTGACAGAGCACCTCCTCCTGCCTCTCTGCACAACAACGTGCTGACATTTTTTACTATTATTATGACAGTAAAGTCATGATATTATGAGAATAAAGTGGTGATATTATGAGAATAAAGTGGTAATATTATGAGAATAAAGTTGTGATATGAGAATAAAGTTGTGATATTATGAGAATAAAGTTGTGATATTATGAGAATAAAGAGGTAAAATATGAGAATAAAGAGGTAACATTATGAGAATAAAGTTGTGATATTATGAAAATAAAGTGGTAATATTATGAGAATAAAGTGGTAATATTATGAGAATAAAGTTGTGATATTATGAGAATAAAGTTGTGATATTATGAGAATACAGAGGTAACATTATGAGAATAAAGTGGTAATATTATGAGAATAAAGTTGTGATATTATGAGAATAAAGTGGTAACATTATGAGAATAAAGTTGTGATATTATGAGAATAAAGTGGCGATATTATGAGAATAAAGTGGTAATATTATGAGAATAAAGTGGTTATATTATGAGAATAAAGTGGTTATATTATGAGAACAAAGTTGTGATATTATGAGAATAAAGCGATAACATTATGAGAATAAAGTTGTGATATTATGAGAATAAAGAGGTAAAATATGAGAATAAAGAGGTAACATTATGAGAATAAAGAGGTAACATTATGAGAATAAAGTTGTGATATTATGAGAATAAAGTTGTGATATTATGAAAATAAAGAGGTAATATT